TGACATTTAATTTAGTGTGCATTGATCTATATAGTTACTGGAATACATTGATTTAATCCTGATATATTTCATTTTAGTTTTAATTATCCTATACATTAATTTAATTATACAGTATAATGAATGTGGGTGTGTTGGTGGTGTGGTTTTGGGGTGGGGTGGGGGGGCACATAGAGGAGAGCAGTAGCTTCAAATGAAAACCGGGGTCACTGAAAAAGTAAGATATTGCTGACCACCGTACTATAGTGAGACACCAAAATAACTCCATTGGGGGAGTGCATAAAGGTACTCAAACAGTTATTCCAATAAGCTGAAGTCAGTTGATGCAGAAAGTAGAAACACGTTACTGTTTAAATGAAAAAGATAAAAAGATAAAACTATAAAGAAAATAAAACAAAGAAAAACAGCGACATGAGTAGAAAGGGCTATTTAAGGTTGCGTTGAAGCAGGAACATTTAACAAAGTCCCTCATCTATTTCCAGCAGAGATCCATTGCACAAATGGAACATTATCAACATCTCAGAAATGAGAGGACATGGAAGCGGTGCTGGGAGCTGACAGATTGTTATACTTTTTTTTTTAAAGTCAACAATTAAGACAAATAAGAGACAGAGAGACAAATAAACTGAAAAATCAATGACTTGTATGCTCACCCAAGGAATTAAAACAGCAAAGGAAGACAAGAGAAAGATAAAGGGGAATGAAGATGTCCCTCAGAAGAGAGCTGTACATTTACTTAGATCCATGAATCCTCATGTTGGTAAAGTGCCCATGTAATCACGCAGTTGAATGGTCATCTTTTCCGTAGTATGTTGTAGGTATAGAGAAATGAAAAGGTTGAGGGTAGAATCAATTAAAATGAATACTCACTGCAGTATATATATTTTTCTCAAGAGACTGGGGTGCAATATTATACATATCCTGCATCACAATACATTCTCTGTCATTAGCTGTCACCCCTTTCTGGCACAAAAAAAAGGTCCTAAACATGGTACCCCCCAACCGAAAGCTTTATTTATTTTTTTTTTTTAATTATGTACATGTTTTCATCTTTACAGTTCATTTCTGTAGAATTTATCTGAGGAATGATTCTATTTTCAGTCAAATCTGAACTTCTGCAACAAAAAAGCAGATATTCTACACATTAGTATATGCCATTCACCACAGGGAGTTGTTGCTTTTACCCCAAGAGACTGCATTTCCATCAGGATTCGCATGCCATTAAAATGTCCTACCGTTTTATACATTCTGTTACTATTTCTCCACTATTAAGAATAATACTTTATCACAATATGTATTTATTGTGTCATTTTATTTAGTTAACTTTGAGGTACCTTTTATTCTAGTTATTTTTGTGTTTAAGAAGAATCAGTTAAAAGTGAGCAAAGAAAAAACCCCAAAACCTTTAAAGTCCTGCATCAATATCTTGTTAAAAGGCACTAACTGTTTCACAGCTAATATTGTTACTATAAAATATTTCACACTCTGTTACACACTTTATTTATTATGTTAATGCATCATTAGATCAACACAGGAAACCATCCAATAGTTTATAATTAATATGAAAGATATGTATTTAAATGTAAGATATATACTATGAATTTAATGTACCTAGGGTACGTTAAATACATAGTCATCTATAAACAGTATTTGATTCATGTAAATATCTAAATATGAGCATGAGAAAGAGGATTCCAGTATTAACCCCTTAATATTAAATGCTATTTAATGATGTAATCTTAATCTAGTCCATAAGGACTATAAGCCAGTATGTCAAATTAATCAAGAATTCGTAGCTTTTTACAGACCAACTTTGTTTAAAAGCTTGCACCATTTCATCTTTATACAGGATCTTTCAAGGAAAATGATTATTCCTTAATTGGTCTTTAAGAGGTCAAATAATGTTCAATGAGTGGTCAACGAAAAATGTACTTGACTGAAGCAGCACATATTCTTATTCTATCTGCCTTTTTCCAGGAACTACTGGTCCTATATAATTTATGAGTAATTTCAGAAACAGATTTCTGCAATGTTGTACAGGTAGAGAAGGAGAGCAAAAGGAAATACGGTTTGATGTAAGAGGAGGGAATGCATTGATATGTAGAGGAATTTTAATGTATCTGATATCAGTAAAATAGTAATATCCTGTATGTTGGAAGAAAACAAAACAAGTGATCAAACAACATTACTCAAAGATAAATTATTATTAATATAGTGCCAACAAACTCTTTACAGTCATAGAATGAGGATAACTGACAAGTAATTGACATACATTATATTAACAGAGACACAAGTTAAAGAAGGCCTTGCTTAAATGAGCTTACAATCTATTAGGATGTGGTATAGACACACAAGAGGAATAAATCATGAAATTAGCTAGTTGGAGTGGAGACTGGAAGAACCAAACAATGGGAGGAGGGAGATTGAGCTGGGCTATGGAAGGAAGGAATTAAGGAGGGTAATTGTAATAAGAGGAGCACCACCCAGGAAGGTGGTATGCTTTCAGTGACTTCTTTAAGGATTTGAGGCTAGTGGAGAGTCTGATGGCATGAGCTAAAGAATTCCATAAGAACAGAGCAGACTTTAAAAAAATCCTGCAGATGAGAGATAGCAGTACAAGATGTCAAAGTAGGTTGCTTGCAGAGTGAATGGAAGATAAACATAGAAACAGAATGCGACGGCAGATAAGAAACTTTTGGCCCATCTAGTCTGCTCAAGGGGTGTATTTGTTGAGTATAGAGGAAATACATTGAGGAGTGGAGTTATTGAAGTCTTTGTGGGTTAATATTAGCAGTTTGAATGGCATCCTGAAGTGTATTGGAAGCCAATGTAATGACTGGCAAAGGAATGAGCTGTGGGAGTAGTGGTTAGTGAGGTAGATGAGCCGGGCAGCAACAGAGGCAATGTGAGCATTTAGAAAGCGAATAAGTAGTGAGTTGCAGTAGTCAAGTCGAAAAATGCTGAGTGATGAGCGCATGATCAAGTGCCTTAGAAAAGGTTGAATGCGGGCAATATTTTCAAAGTGGAAGTTAGAGGATTTGAAGAGAATAGAGAATTCAGCTGTTACAAAACTGAGGATTCCTCACTCTTGAGAAACAAAATCCAGAAAAAAACAATACATATGCAGACACTGATTTTTTTACAAGTAGAAAGAATAAATAGACAAAGTGGTAACTTTACATATCTTAAGAATTGAAAATAATTTACAGAATATCAATCTGTCTAAAGTCAAAAATGGGTCGCAAGAGAATACTGAGAACGGGCAGCAGCTGAAATAGCCTGCCCTTCGGTCGATCCCTGCTCAGTTCTCAAGCTGATTTTTGCTCATCTTGTGCCACTACAGAGAGAACATATCTGAAGCATATCAGACTGGTCCCACCCATACGGGCAGTCCAGATCCGACATGCCAGCAAGTTCTCTCTGCACGAGAGACACAGCAACCCCAGACGATCATTTCAGCCTTGTTAGGCATCATCAGTGAGGCATAGCTGACATCTCCCTAGGCACCGTGAGCAAGGGGTCCACGTCTGGATTATCCCTTTAAACTTGTGGAGAGTCAAAAATGGGTCAATCTGTCTAAGACATAAATATGAATGAAGGTTGAATAAACTCCAAATAATATACAATTATTATTTATTATTCTTTATCAACTGTCAATATATTCAACAGCACTATAAAATAGATGACAAACATAAGGTTGAAGAGTGTGGTCACTGCCGTGCCAAATTCAAAAAGTACAATTTTACTAGCACAGCCCTTGTGCAAGACGGCTATGGTTCCACCAGCAGTAAAGTCAAACAATGAAAACAGAAAGTAGCCTAATGCACTGCTCAGTGAATAGGGTTCACCTGTGAAATCAACTTTTATTTAAAGAGTATATCAAATACAAGCAAACATTGTGGGACTCCTGTCCCTTAATCAACGTACAAATGCCCTGAAAGAGTCCCAAAATGTTTGTATTGATATGCTCTCCAAATAGAAGTGGCACTATTCAGTAAACTGCACATTGTGCTACTTTCTGTTTTTATTGTACAATAGATTAATTAGCAAACAAGCAGTTGCAAAAAAAGACAAGTTGGGTATACAGAAACAGAAGGGGGTTGGAGGTAATATCCATCATGTAAATGGACTGCCGTAACTTAGAGGAAGAGTTCATCTGAAAACATAACACTGTATTCATGACATTCGGTTTCGCGTTTCAATGTGTTTAATTCCCAATATGCATACAAGACATTGTACATGGCACTTATTAAGTAGCCCCGATGGTATTATATATATATTCAGAGCCACAACAAAGTTTCTCTTAAAATTTTACAACCACCATCATACCACCCAACATTTAAAATGAACAAAGAGGGACACTTTAATTTTAGGGGTGTGAGTGGAGGTATGCCCAGGGATAGGGCTATTCTGAGTGATCTGAGGTGTCTTACTAGAAACAATTTAGGCAACTGAAATATAGCTTTGAATAAGATCTAGTCTTGTTTACACAGACTGATTTCTAAACACATTTATTGTAATTTAACACCGTTACGGCGTTCTATGCTGTCCCCATTATAATGGGCTTTAAAGCCATTGCAGTGGCATATAATGCCGTAACGGCTTTCTACCCCAGGAGCCTCCAGCTACTCACCTTCCCAGCAATCTGCTTCGGGAGGACTGCTTGACAGCCCAGGCAGTCCGTGCCCAGCAAACAAGGCCCCCTGGGGCCATGTGATCGCTCTCAAAGAGCAATCACATGGCCCCCTATAGCTGGCTGTGGATCTGCCAGCAGGGGGACTGTCTGGACTGTCAGACAGTCCTCATGCTGATGGGTAGCGTTAAAAAAATCATTATTAGACATGTTAAAATAAATTAAGTGTGTGTATATATATATATATATATAAAAAAAGTGAGTCTGGTATACTTAATGTAACACACAGAGGAAAGGGAGTAGGACTAGTACTAGGTAGCTGCAAACTGAAACAATAGGGATTCACTAAAACCTATACAAAAAAACTGCCAGGAAGAAAAACACTCAGAAGGATAGTGCAAATAATCCAGGAGCTAGATAGTATCAATGGCTCAGAATTGTGGAATCCTGGATTATTTGCACTATCCTTCTGAGTGCTTTTCTTCCTGGCATATATATACACACACACACACACACACATCTTGTATATATGTAACGTCATGCGTAGTGTATTTTAATATTAATATAAGTACATATATTAGTATTAAAATACACTTAGAATGAAGTTACATACATAAGATATATAAATATATGATAAATATATATAATTACATAAATGATTACATAAGTATACACGAAGAATTTAAATACATATATCTGTATATATATTAAAATTCTACATGTATATTTAAGTAATCTTTTAACAGAACTATGTGATTTTACTAATTAAAATGTGATTTACGTGCCTGACAACAAAGGCAGAAAGTGCAGAGAATTTAATTCGCAAGCAGTATATTTAACCCTGTAACTTTCCAAGACTCCATAAAACCTGCACATGGCGGATGCTATTCTACTCGGGTGACTTTGTGGAACACAAATATTAGTGTTTCAAAATGATAAATTGCATTACCAGGATGATATTTTCAGTAAAAGTGAAGTTTTTTTGCATTGTTCACACACAAACTGCACTTTTACTGACAATATTGTTGTAATATGTTTTACTATTTTGAAATACTTATGTTTGTGTTTAGTAAAGTGTCCCAAGTATAACAGAACCCCCATGTAAGGTATTACAAATGGGGTATGTCCCGTCTTTTGTAGTAGCCACTTAGTCACAAACACTGGTCAAAGTTATCGTTCATATTTGTTTGTGGATGAAAAATTAAAAAAACTAAATTGAACGCTAATTTTGGCCAGTGTTTGTGACTAAGTAAAACGTATCACAACAATTATATTGTCAGTGAAAGTACTGTTTGTGTGTGAAAAATGCAAAAAACTGTAATTTTACTGAAGATATCATAGTTGTGATATATTTTACAGTTTTTAAATGCTAATATTTGTGTTCAGCGATGTCTCCCGAGTAAAACAATACCCCCAATGAACAGGTTTTATGGTGTCCTGGAAAGTTACAGGGTTAAATATAGGGCTTGCAAGCTAAATTCTCTCGCCTGGATTGTAGGCAGGTCCCTCAGATTGTAAATAAAATTGATTATGTAAAAAAAAAAAAAAAAATATATATATATATATATATATATACATACACACACACACACACACACACACACACACACACACACACACACACACATACATATTTATAACGTCATTCTAAATATATTTTGAATTTAATATATATATGTATATTAATATCAAAATACAGTTAGAACAAATTAAAACTGTTATATAATTTGTAAAATGTATTTTTATTTTTTATTATTTAAAAAAATTTCATTTTTTAAAATGTATTTATTGATTATTTTGATTTAATTTGAATTATATATATAATTAATCCTATTCTAAGTGTATTTGAATATTAATATAAATGTATATAAAAGTACTTAGACCATATATACACACACACACACACACATATATATATATATATATATATATATATATGCGCTAAGTACTTTTTTTAATTTAAAAACTGTTTAATAACTTTTACTAACTTTTTTAGAGGCATGAGGGGGGCAGCCTGAGAGCTCAGGCAGTCCCACTGCAGGCACTACGAGGACCCTGATCAAATAAAGCTGCTAGAAAAGGGGGACATGATGACAGCAAAGAGGGACCGAGGGATTTGGCTCCAGAGAGATACCCTCCTTAAGACAGACATTTGAGATATACGCTCCTTTCTGCAAGTCTTGATGAGGACATGGAGAAACCAATCATCTTTAAGAGCTTTGGGCCATGGGGTATAAGTACTTCATAGCAAGAGCTAAATCAGAATGCAAATACATCCTTTGAGCTCAGAGACTGAGACATTTTATTTATAATATCCTAAAGTAAAGATAAGCACATATATGACAAAACAAAAACATACTAATAAATATTCCAAATGTAAAGCTGGAAAAAAAGAAGGAAAAAAATATAAATAAATGCCTAGTGACAAACTACATATCCATTTGTCCTTGAATGCTTTGAATGTTACGCATATTGAGCTACTATTGATCAATTTATTGCCGACTTACTGTTTAACTTACTCAGGTTAATGTAACAAGAATTCCTATTTGGATATAACATAGCTATCATTCATTATTGTTTTTGCATTGTAAATAAAAATGGTAAAAATATAGGTATCATGTATTTCCTTCACTTTTTGTTATTAAATTGTGAATAAAAGTCCAAGGATGAAGCTAACAGATGCGTAAGCGGTCATTGTAGAGTCTCTTTTCTAATTGAACCATGTCTCCTTATTAAACTCACATTTTCCTCTATTAATTTTTATCAGATCACTATTCCCTATGCACTCACCAACTGCCAGATTTTAAGGCTTGTCTTTCACAGGTGGCAAGACATGACAAGATTAATCTAAGCTATCCCACAAAGGGACATAATATTTAACACAATCAGATCACACCATAGTTACAGTTGGTTCATTCAGACATCATTGTTAGTCTGTAAAAGTATCAACAAACTTGCATTGGCAATATGTTTAATTATATGTCCTTTTAAAAATCTTCTGTCTGTTTCTAATATGACACGGCTTAAAAATGCATTTCCTCAAGAACAGTGTCATATCCGAATAAGGTCAGTACTCATTATAATGCACTTTCCTTATGTAAAAAAAACTCAGTTTCATGCAATCTACTCACTTTCATAACATAGTAAATTCTAATGTCTCCTGTAAATGTTTAAAGGGACACTATAGACACCCAGAGCACTTCAGCTTATTGAAGTTTTCTTAGTGCATTGCCTCAAGTCCCTTAACCCTGAGCAGGTAATTATTGCAGTTTTTTTATAAACAGCAATAATTACCTGCTAGGGTTAACTCCTCCTCTAGTCGATGTCTACAGGACAGCCACTAGAGAGACTTCCGGGCTGTTCAGCGACTTTTTGTCGCTGAACTGTCACTGGACATCCTCATGCTATGAATGTGTAAGGACTTACCTTGGTTGTATTCCATAGTGCAGAGATGTTTGCTTACAATTGCAGATAATCACAGCCCACGGTAACCAGGTAAGAAGCCACCTGGGTTGTGAATCTGTGCACGGTGGCTTGGCAGGAACAATAACCGGGTACGTAGAAACAGACAAGGGCAAATCCAGGACAGTAGTCAGGCACGGTTCCAAAGGTCAGGGCAGGCAGCGAACAGACAATAACTAAATATCCAAAAACAGGGGTCACAAGCCAAGTCAGTCTGGAAATCAGGGAAAAGTAGGCAACAGCCACAGGAACAGGAAACAATGAACTGACACTGCCCTCAGGGAGAGGCAGTTCAATATACCTGGATAATGAGCATCTAATTTGTAAGTTGCCTCAGGTGGACTTAAAGTGACAGGTAGTAGCCAAAGTAGAAGTCCAGCCCCCTAGTACTGCAGACAAGGCAAGGTAAACGGGGCTAGAACACTAATATAACAAGTTCAGCAGTGGCTCAGAGGCAGGAAAGCAGGCATAGGATACCAAAGGGTCCAGGATTAAATCCCCTGCAAGACGCCTGTAGGGTGGCCACACCTAGCCGAATGGATGGCACGGGGATAACCGTGACAGCATGGTGATGTCTAGCATCGTACAAAACCCCACAGGAAAACATTAAATAATACTTTCCTATGTGGAAATCCTAATGCGAGTTTAGCCACTGTGGGCCTGAGCCAGCTCCGAGGGACATCGGTGCTGGATCCAGGTAAGTGACAGAAGGGTTTTTTAATCTCCTCCTTTGCCCCACAGGGGAGGCCTTGTCACAGGGTGAAGCTAAAGTGCAAGGAAAATGAGTTTATTTTCCTGGCACAGTAGTTTCCTTTTAAAATAAAACCAAAAAGTACAATAAAAGTTTTGAAAAGACTGTTTTTCTGTTGATAGATATGGGGTGGTCACCCTTGCATGGGCTTGGTTTGTCCAAGTATGTAAAAATATAATAATAAAATGTAACTTAGAGGTTTCATAATCAAAATAACTAATAACTAATTAAAATAAAAAAACAACTAATGTAAATGTAACATTCAGAAAAAGGGATCCAATGAGTATATAAAAATAAACAATAGATATGTTAATATAGTCATCTAGGATTTAGACATTTATTAAAATCTAAACCATTTCTATTAGATGGAGAATTAGGACATATCTAACAAATATTTATTTTAACAGCATGCAGTGATAAAATCCCCACTGATTGATATGTAGATCTAGGGGCTGGTCCCTTAATAAAGTATGGGTTGATATATAAAAAATAAAAATGGCAAACAATAGTGTTCACTGTAATCAATGTAATAATGGTTGTAAAAGTAAGAATATTCTACTCACATGCAGTGGAACAGTAGATATAATGTTGGGTAGATTCTTTAAGGACTAGTTTCCAAAGTTTCAGTATTTTAGTGCCAGGAACAAAAGAAGATAAACAAAAAAGAATAAAAGCAACTAAAAGTATAACAAGTGTAATAAATGGACGAACACCACTAGCAGTGAATGCCAAATATACTTTAACACTTTCAAAACAAAGGTTAAAACAACACAACACAGTTCACCCAGTTGGTGAGACATGTTGTTTTGTTTTAACCTTTGTTTTGAAAGCATTAAAGAACATTTGGTATCACCGAATAACCCCAAAATATAAGCTCCCCTTAAGCTAAATTTCTCAGTGTTAGGCAAGTCTTGTTCTAACAATTCCTATGGATGCTTTAATTTCAAAGGCAAAATCTGTATACCAAAGAAGAACAATTCTATATCAGAATAATTTTGATTGTTTCAGTATCATCGTTATGAGCAAATGTTTATTCTGGGCATTACTTTCTATTTCTGTTTTGCTTTATACATTTGGAGCCATAATGATGTGGTCATTTCAGTACACATTTGTCAAACATTTGTCTATTAATGTATATTATGGGAGATGCTTTCTACGGAGCTGTATTTTGATTACATCATCCAAGAAAAGTGAGACAAACACTTAAGTGATATAACTGTGATATATTCTATGCAATTAATTCACTTTCTGTTTGCTCTTAGTGAGAATCTTTG